CCCTCTCCTCCTTCCCCCCCAAGTCCTAATCCAACTAGGGAAAAGGGAGGGGAGTCCTACTCCCGGTAGGAGTAGGACTCCTCCTGCGCGCCTCCTCCTAGGGCCGGCCGCACCCCCCCTTGGCTCCTTTATATACGGGGGCAGGGGGCACCCATAGACACACAAGTTGATCTCTAAGATCGTTCTCTTAACCGTGTGCGGTGCCCCCTTCCACCATAGTCCTCGATAATATTGTATAGTGGTGCTTAGGCGAAGCCCTACGACAGTAGAACATCAAGATCGTCACCACGCCATTGTGCTGATGGAACTCTTCCTCGACACTTTGCCGAATCGGAGTCCGGGGATCGTCATCGAGCTGAACGTGTGCTAGAACTCGGAGGTGCCGTAGCTTCGGTGCTTGATCGGTCGGGCCGTGAAGATGTATGACTACATCAACATCGTTGTCATAACGCTTCCGCTGTCGGTCTAAAAGGGTACGTAGATCACACTCTCCCCTCTCGTTGCTGTGCATCACCATGATCTTTTGTGTGCGTAGGAATTTTTTTGAAATTACTACGTTCTCCAACAGATTGGATCCACAAAGATTCATCGATGACGAACATCGATGGAATCCTACAAGATTTTCCGAAGACACACCTCCACATGCCCTTCAATGACATTAGACACACTGCCGAAAACGAGGGCTAGACGTGAGGACCTTATTCCATTCGCAAGGAGCCGCCACCGCCGCCCCGCCTTACCAAGAAGGACACAAACCCCAATCGACCTTAAAACGCCTAAAATTGAGTAGGAACCCTCCCGCCGGCAAGGGTTGATGCCCACCACGCCTTCATGGCCCTAATACAGCCTGTTTGGTAAACACTCGGGCAGGGGAATGGGAGTTTGCACAAGGGTGTTTATGAAGGGATTAGGCATGGGAAGTAGATTTTTACTGCCATTACCTTGTTTGGCATATGATGGGGACTCTGCTCACGAATTAACAGGGTACCCCCTGGGAAGAAATCGGTGGGAATTGGCTTTCTCAACTCCCAGTCCCGCTCCCACTTAAACTCCCATTCCCTCTAATCAAACAGTGGACTTTTAATCTCCTTACCCCTCAACTCCCATTCCCCATCTCTAATTCCCCCGATCCAAACACGCTGTAAGGTCACAGAAGACGAGGTGGACCGACGGCGGCATTGACGGGAGGTAGAGATACCCTAATCACCTAGGCAGTTGTGAGAGGAGGCAAAGGGGTACATGTGATCCAGAGTAGTATATCCAATCTGCATTTTTTAGCATATATCTTTTCTTTTCCTCAGAATCTTTTGAGCATATGTCCCTTTTTAGAAACTTTTGAGCGTTTATCCAATCTGCATTTTTTGAGATAAATATCCAATCTGCATCTAGTCCGTTTACGCCCTAACTAACTAGGCCAAAGGCCCATTGACACCTAATCTGTTTACGCCCTAACTAACGAGGCCAAAGGCACATTGGAACAAAACGTGATTTAAGCGGACACCACCCCATTTGCGGAGAAGGCACGTAACTATCACCTCCATCCCCAAAATTTCGAGTTTTTGTTTCAAAAGCGGCAAGAACTCAACACCATTTCGGTGGATCTCTCCGTAAGTTCGATCCCTTCCTCGCTCCCTCCGATCCCCTTCCCCATAAGCACATCCCTCCATGGATTTCCCTGCATAATCTTCACAGCGGACGTCCTTGGACCTGCACGCACGCCCTCTACCGGCTCGATGAAATGCGCCGGACGACCACCCAGCGCCGGGGGCCGCGCCGCCGCACCGACCAGGCATCAGGCTCCGGCAGCGGAGGGGTCGACAACCTCAGCGCCCTCCCGGACGCGATCTTGCACCACATCATGTCGTTCCTCAAGGCGTGGGAGGTGGTGCCCACCTGCGTGTTCGCGCGCCGGTGGCGTCACCTCTGGGAGTCCACGCCCTGCGTCGACCTCCACCTGCGCTACATGAGCCGTGACGGTGACCCGCCCCAGGAGTTCCGCGACTTCGTGCACCGCCTCTTCCTCCTCCACTACATGTCGGTGCCCGTGGACACGCTCCGCCTGCAGCCCAGCGATGAGGACGCTGGCTTCAACAAGGAAGAAGCCAGCATATGGATCAGGACTGCTCTCAAGCGCAAGGCGCGTGTTATTCATCTCACTGGGCATCACAAGAGAGCCGCGTCGTTGGACGGCATGCCCTTCGTTTCGTGCCACCTCAAGATCTTGAAGTTGTCGTATGCCAGGCTCGATGATAGTGTCCTCTGACAGCTTTCTGCTAGTTGCAAATCCTTGGAAGAGCTGGTCTCAAGGGTTGCTTGGTCACAGGCCCTGGGATTGTGTCCGCCTCTTTGAAGACCTTAATCATGCGTAAGTGCAAGTTCAATTCGGGCTTCTCAATTGGACCTCCTAGCCTCTTCTCCATTGCAGCTCCCAACCTCCTACTTCTGCGCCTCATCATACCGTATGCCCAAGTTCCGTCATTTACCAACTTTGGGTCACTAGTCACAGCCACTATCTTACTTGATGACCATTTCTTGAGAAATGAATTTGAACACATCAACAACAAGCATGACTGCGATGAAACTACTGATAACGATGGCAATGATGATAAGAGGGAGAACTATACGATTCATGATGCCTCATCCTTGAGTGATGATGATGATTTTGGATACATCGGTGATTTGACGAGTTTGGATATGGATATGGTTTTCCCGAAGAAAGATATGGGCACAGTCGTTACAAGAATAATTATAATTATGGCAACGATATTGATAGTGATGACAATACCTATGAATACAGTGAGATTGCAAATGATGCAAAGTATGGCTACAACGGTAAAGGAAAGCTTTCCAGTGAAGATGGTGACTATGGAAAAATTAGTGGTGGAAATTATAGTAACATTCTAGGTGGCCATCTGCTCGAGAGCCTTTCCACAACTACGAGTTTGGAGTTGTTAACTGATGTTGGAGAGGTATAACAATCACCATCTTTTACTAATTTCTCTTTTTCCTCTCTTATTTTCTATTTATATTTTCCTTGGCATGGTCATAGTAATAATGGGACATTTTTTCCTGCATGTTTCACAATGAAATGTCGGGTTCCCTCCAATAGAACAGATGTTGAATGAGCACATTTCCGACCTTCTGATCTGGTGTAGTACTAGTTTGTTTAATCATCAATTGTAGCTTCGAGGGAGTATTATTCATCAATTATGTTCTCATTGCAACTTTGCTATTTTTCTCTTTGTTGCAACAGTGTATCTTTTCAACAAATTAGCTATATATATTTAGTTTTTATAAGAGTGTCTGAGGCCAATGTTCCTCCAGTTACTAGAAAAGAAAGATGAATGATATAAAAGCAATACGTGCTACTATTCTAGCAATACATCACTATATGATAGATGTTGTTTTCCCTTCTTTTTTGAGATGGGTATCTTTTTTCTGTTGAATAAACCATCCATATGCATTTTTTACTGTGAGAAGTTGATTCGAGTTACTACCGTTCTTTGCTGAATACTCTTTTGTCTGCATTATGAAGGTGGTTATGACTAGGGAATTGAGAAGGTGTCCAACTTTTAGCAACCTGAAGACCCTGTCCCTTGGCGAATGGTGTATGGCCGCTGATTTCGATGCATTAATTTTCTTGCTACAACATCCACCTAATATAAAGACGCTTTTTCTCCAACTCAAATTGGTATGTGTGATCACTGAAGGAAATATGCCCTAGAGGCAATAATAAAGTTATTATTTATTTCCTTATATCATGATAAATGTTTATTATTCATGCTAGAATTGTATTAACATGAAACATAATACATGTGTGAATACATAGACAAACAATATGTCACTAGTATGCCTCTACTTGACTAGCTCATTGATCAGAGATGGTTAAGTTTTCTAACCATAGACAAAGTGTTATCATTTGATTAATGAGATCACATCATTAGAAGAATGATGTGATTGACTTCACCCATTCCTTTAGCTTAGCACACGATCGTTTAGTATTCTGCTATCGCTTTCTTCATGACTTATACATGTTCCTATGACTATGAGATTATGCAACTCCCGTTTACCGGAGGAACACTTTGTGTTCTACCAAACGTCACAACGTAACTGGGTGATTATAAAGGTGCTCTACAGGTGTCTCCGAAGGTACTTGTTGGGTTGGCGTATTTCGAGATTAGGATTTATCACTCCGATTATCGCAGAGGTATCTCTGGGCCCTCTCGGTAATGCACATCACTTATGATGGGTTTCGTAGTAATTTCAAAAATTTCCTATGCACACGCAAGATCATGTGATGCATAACAACGAGAGGGGAGAGTGTTGTCTACGTACCAAACGCAGACCGACTGCGGAAGCGCTGACACGACGTAGAGGAAGTAGTCGTACGTCTTCACGATCCAACCGATCAAGCACCGAAACTACGGCACCTCCGAGTTCGAGCACATGTTCAGCTCGATGACGATCCCCGGACTCCGATCCAGCAAAGTGTCGGGGAAGAGTTCCGTCAGCACGACGGCGTGGTGACGATCTTGATGAACTACAGTAGCAGGGCTTCGCCTAAACTCCGCTACAGTATTATCGAGGAATATGGTGGCAGGGGGCACCGCACACGGCTAAGGAATAGATCACGTGGATCAACTTGTGTGTCAAGAGGTGTCCCCTGCCTCCGTATATAAAGGAGCCAAGGGGGAGGGGTGCGGCCAGCCCTATGGAGGCACAGGAGGAGTCC